CATACACATATACATATACATATACATATACACACATACACACCCACATACATACATACATACATACACATACATATCCTTTAAAAATATATATATATTCCCCTTTATTACTTTCCTACCCCGCCACCCTTTCCCCACTTGGAGTAAACTAGTGAACAACAACGCCTAGGCCTCTACTTCCAGCCCATACCCACTATCTACATTTTATGGACACAGTCAATTTTACAATAATTACATTTTGTTTGTTCTTTCTCCTGAACTTCTTCTAGTCTCAACCTCTCCGATCATTTTCATGATGTGCATCCGGTTTGCTTCTATATGCCATATCTTTCTAACTGTGCTCCTTCACAAAAGCTCCCAACCTACAACCCATACACTTATTATGGACACAGTGTGCCTACATTATTAGTTATCTTGTTATTGTTTGTTGTTAGTTGTTATTAGTCCCATCCTTCAATCCCATTCAACACCTCCCATCTATCTTTTAACACCATCCATATAGGATTTCTATTTGCCATATGTATTTCAACTGTACTGTGATGTCTTACAAAAGTTCTGAACCTTTCTATTCTCATTGTTTCTACAGATTGTAAATTGAAAATAAACCTTTTTGCTAATAGTATTATTATGTTATTGATCGATTGACTATGACTTTTCAGATCACCCAGTAGTGCCATCTGCAGGGTTAGCTCCAGGTAAATATTGCAATCCTTTAGCCATTCCTGGACCTGTGTCCAAAAACAAGCTACAAATGGACAGTACCAAAACAAATGATCTAATGATTCTGTCTCTTCGCAGCAAAATCTGCAGAGCTGGGAAGATTGTATCCCCCATATAAATAACATTCTATTGGTAGCAAGAATTTTATATAATAATTTAAATTGAAAGATTCTAAGTTTTGAATCCAGTGTCGTTTTGCGTATCAGTTCATAAACACTATGCCATGGGATCGGTACGTCAAAAATCTCTTCCCAACTATTTTGCAATCTATATGGGACGGCTGTCAATCCTTTGGTCCTTAAATCAAACTGATATACTTTTGTATTTATCACAGTTTTCCTTAACCAATTATGTTCTTTAATGCAAGGCCGACAGACAAGTTCCTTATTTTCTCCTCCTTCCACTTTCCTCTTCCATTTTTGCGGTAAGGCTGCAATTATTTGGTTGTAATTTTGGGTAGAGCAGACATTTCCATATGTTTTTGTTAGCTGCATGTGCGACATAACTCCACCAGTCCTACCGATGATATCATTTACAAAGATTATAATTTTTTTTTAAAGATTTGTCAAAAAAAAAAGTTTTTTTGTCAATTAGTATATTTGAGTTTAACCACTATTTGTTGCATTATTTGTTCTGTCGTTTCTGGAGGATTAAATTGAAATTGCAACCAACTTTCTATGGCTTGTTTTAGAAATAGTGATATCTGGGAGATGATTTCCTTTTCAAATAACTGAAAGTGAGTGGTTGTAATCTGAATAAAGGGAAAAAGGCCATTCTTGAACATTGGGTGAAACCATCTTACTAATTTGCTAGTGAACCAGTTCGGATTTAAGTATAACTTTTGTATGACTGAAGCTTTTAGTGATAGGTCTAATGCTTTAATATTTAATAATTTCTGTCCTCCGAATTCATATTCATTATATAAATAGGCCCGTTTAATTTTGTCTGGCTTGCCGTTCCAAATAAAATGGAATATTTTTTTCTCATATAATTTAAAAAACTGTTCGCTAGGCGTAGGCAAGACCATAAGCAAATAGGTAAACTGGGATAATACTAAAGAGTTAATCAGGGTGATTTTTCCACAAATTGACAGGCACCCACCTTTCCATGGTAGCAAGATCTTATCTATTTTTGCTAACTTTCTATCATAATTTATTGAAGTGAGATCATTTATTTCCTTTGGGATATGTATTCCGAGTATATCCACATCACCATCAGACCATTTTATTGGTAAACTACATGGCAATGTAAAAATTGTATTTTTTATTGATCCAATACGTAATATAGTAAATTTGTCATAATTTGGTTGTAATCCAGAGAGGTTAGAAAATGTATCTAGATCCTCTATGAGGCTGTGGAGCGATTCTAGTTGTGGATTTAAAAGAAAACATGAATCATCAGCGTACAATGACACCTTTGTTTTTAAACCCTGGATTTCTAATCCCCTGATATTATTGTTGGATCTGATTTTAATAGCTAACATCTCGATGGCCACAATAAATAGATATGCTGATAGTGGGCAACCTTGTTTCACTCCTCTTGACAGTTTAAAACTTTTCGGAGAAATAGCCATTATTTACTAATTTACACCTAGGGTTACTAAACATGATTTTGACCCATTTTATAAGAGATTCACCGAAATGTAAATGCTCCAGGCATTTATATATAAACCCCAGTCGTACTTTATCAAATGCCTTTTCGAAGTCTGCTATGAATAGCAGGCCTGGTTTCTCAGATTTTCCATAATGTTCTATTGTTTCCAATACTTGCCTTATATTATCTCCAATGTATCTTCCATGTAAAAAACCTGTCTGATTAGAATGAATAATATCCGACAATACGTTTGTGAAAATTAGTATTTGTGTCATTCTCAAAACTTTTGACCACGACTGTAGACTAATAGCCAGCTTTTATTATTATGATTATGATGATTAGTTTCACTGATTAGGCTAATAGCCTACGTAAGGGCAGAGGAACATTGTCTTGGAATGTATTATAATTACAGTATCATCCACAATGTATTGAAGATTCAAGAAAGCCTAATCAGAGAAATTGGTCCAGTTTCTGCTGTTACTAGAAACACACACAGAGATGATTTACGATCAAGGCTTATTTATTATTATTTTTCCAAAAACCCATAAAACCAAATGGCGAAAAATACAAACGGAGCATTTTACATAAGGCAAAAAAATAAGTAGGTAAACCTATAGTTGTGAACAAGTAATACAAATATAAATGTATAAAAAAGAAAGTTAAACAAATATAAAACGTTATAAAATCCAATTTCTCAGAAAATCCTATATTAAAGGTGGGGGGGGAATTGATGTAAAAAGAGAAATACAAATTGAGACACCAATGAGTATACAAAACATTAAGAACACCTGCTCTTTCCATGACATAGACTGACCAGGTGAATCCAGCTGAAAGCTCTGAGCCCTTATTGATGTCACTTGTTAAATCCACTTCAATCAGTGTAGATGAAGGGGAGGAGACAGGTTCAAGAAGGATTTTCAAGCCTTGAGACAATTGATACATGTATTGTGTATGTGTGCCATTCAGAGGGTGAGGCAACTCAATATTAAGAAGCTTTCCCTATTGTTTGGTATACTCAGTGTATTTTTATATTCTGGACTTCACAAAAATGTTACATCATTTTATGCATCACTACTACTGTAGAATAATGTCATATAGTATTATCATTTTGATATACCTATATTACAATGCAAATTCTTCATCAGATCCATAGTCCATTCTGTCACTTTCTAGTTACCAACCAATCCAAAAAGGGTGACCACTGAACAGGCATTTTCTCCTTGCCTACCACCGTACACACCCTAGTCAGTACCTAACCACCCCACGTCATTCCTTCCCTCAGTAAAACCACTCATAAAACCTTTATTCAAGAAAATAAACAATCTTTCATTTCAGAAATGTAGTACCTTTATTGGATAGTTAGAGTAGCTACCATTTATAGTTACCTTCTCATAAACATTACAACTGTTATTGACCTCAACGATAATGTTGCTGTTACCAAATTTTTTGTTCAGAATTATCTGTCTGGTCAATACATATTACTATCTTTACACTCAAAATGATCACCACAACATACAGTGTAACAAACAAGTTGTTATGAGGGAAACATCTTTGGATAACAATTCGGAACAAATTGTTAACTGTTAACACATTACTAAAATCTGGTTGGAAGTTAGCCAGTATGACCATAATTTAAAACAACAGTATCCTGATAAGGGTGCTGTAGGCCTAGTCACAGCTAGGTGTCTGACGTCTAATGTATCAATGTTGTGTGTCAAGTCGGTCATCTGTTAAGAGTGTTGAGATCCATACCGTTATCTGTTAACAGTGTTGAGATCCATACCGTTATCTATGTGAAAACTACAGAAATTTGAATTGAATAAAAAGACACTATCAAAAATACTCTAGCGTAAATAAAGGTTGTGTAGAAATCTTGATCTATAGTACTGAATTAAACTGGAGTCCTGTATCAGAATAGTTTTAGCACCAATCAGCTGACTGATACAATTGATAAAGGACACTTCAGAGAGATAAGTGTATTTTAGAATGAAATGGGTGATTTTGTAGTTTTAGAATGATATGGGTGAATTAATCATTTTACAGTGATATGGGGGACTTTTGGCATTTCATAAATGATTGTGATGAGACAACATATTCCTACTGTGTCACTGCAACTGATCGATTATCAATGATATATAGAATGACATATATTGCTTGTACAGTAATAAGTAACAAATGCATATGAACAAAAAATAAGCTACAATAATGAACTACGGTAAAGTAATACACTCTTGCTTATCTAGTGGCAATAAAATACACAAAATGAATGGAAGTGGGTTTATTGCTGAGTTGGGTTTGTGTATTGAGCTTTACAATGGGAATTGCTTATTCTGTCATGTGAATATTATCTGAGATTGATTTCAACCAACACTAAGAAAAAAAACTGACTCTTGTGCGTAAAGAACTATATGTGAGTATAGCATCACAATGAATTCCTTTTTGTTTCAAGAAAAGATGCATTAGGATTGTGACAAGTGCTGGGTTTCATGCCGACATGTGCACATACAGTCCATACAGAGAGAACATTACAATCACTCTCTCACACACAAATACACACAGACAGACTCACACACACACACACACGAACACACACATATACACAGATATCAACACTTGTGGTGGAATGGCTGAGGAGCTGGTTGAAGCGGTGCTGCTAAATTCGCCAAAAGTATCTAACAGTGTGGTCACTTTGTTTCACCAGAGGGGGGAGAGGATCCCAAAAGAGAAGACTTTGGTGATACCTTGAGGGTAAAACAATATTGTAAATCATCACCTGATGCACCCACACGTGAGTGTGTGTTGTGTGTTTGTTTTTGATCAAATGTGTACAGAAATTCTCTGTTTGACAACACTTACAGGGGAAGGAGGCTTGGCGAAGTTGAGGTGAGCGTAGAGAAGCACAGCGATGTCATTCTGACTGGCCTCAAGGGCTATGGACAGGGCTGAACTGCCATCCTAGTGGAGAGAGAGATCGATAATAACCAGAGGTTGGTTGCCAAAGAGAGAGAGAGTGAGAAAGGCAAGAGAAAGTATTTCAGGCTGAGGGAGGGATGAGAGACAGGGTTGGGAACTGGTTCACGGAGCTGCACCACAGAGAGAGAGCAAATTAGAGAGTGCAGAGAGACAAAGACAGAGGAGAAAGTAAAAACAAACCGTCAAAGACACTGTATAGACATGGGAGACAGACTCACAGACACTGTATAGACATGGGAGACAGACTCACAGATACTGTATAGACATGGGAGACAGACTCACAGACACTGTATAGACATGGGAGACAGACTCACAGATACTGTATAGACATGGGAGACAGACTCACAGACACTGTATAGACATGGGAGACAGACTCACAGATACTGTATAGACATGGGAGACAGACTCACAGATACTGTATAGACATGGGAGACAGACTCACAGACACTGTATAGACATGGGAGACAGACTCACAGATACTGTATAGACATGGGAGACAGACTCACAGATACTGTATAGACATGGGAGACAGACTCACAGATACTGTATAGACATGGGAGACAGACTCACAGACACTGTATAGACATGGGAGACAGACTCACAGATACTGTATAGACATGGGAGACAGACTCACAGATACTGTATAGACATGGGAGACAGACTCACAGATACTGTATAGACATGGGAGACAGACTCACAGACACTGTATAGACATGGGAGACAGACTCACAGACACTGTATAGACATGGGAGACAGACTCACAGACACTGTATAGACATGGGAGACAGACTCACAGACACTGTATAGACATGGGAGACAGACTCACAGACACTGTATAGACATGGGAGACAGACTCACAGATACTGTATAGACATGGGAGACAGACTCACAGACACTGTATAGACATGGGAGACAGACTCACAGACACTGTATAGACATGGGAGACAGACTCACAGACACTGTATAGACATGGGAGACAGACTCACAGATACTGTATAGACATGGGAGACAGACTCACAGACACTGTATAGACATGGGAGACAGACTCACAGATACTGTATAGACATGGGAGACAGACTCACAGACACTGTATAGACATGGGAGACAGACTCACAGACACTGTATAGACATGGGAGACAGACTCACAGATACTGTATAGACATGGGAGACAGACTCACAGATACTGTATAGACATGGGAGACAGACTCACAGATACTGTATAGACATGGGAGACAGACTCACAGACACAGTATAGACATGGGAGACAGACTCACAGACACTGTATAGACATGGGAGACAGACTCACAGACACAGTATAGACATGGGAGACAGACTCACAGACACTGTATAGACATGGGAGACAGACTCACAGACACTGTATAGACATGGGAGACAGACTCACAGACACTGTATAGACATGGGAGACAGACTCACAGATACTGTATAGACATGGGAGACAGACTCACAGATACTGTTAGACATGGGAGACAGACTCACAGATACTGTTAGACAGGGAGTAGGGAAAACGGGGTGGGAAAACAACCAAATAAAATGCTATGTAAAATCCTAGAAGCTTGGGAGTAGATTTGTTGACTTACGTTATCAGTGAGGGTGACATCACAGCCTGGCACAGACAGCAGCTGACGAACGATGTCGACGTGGCCGTGCTCGCAGGCACACATGAGCGCCGTGGAGCCGTCGTCGTCGCGGATGTTGACCTGTGCCCCGCAGGAGAGCAGCGCCCGTACCATGTCCCCTCGCCCGTGACTCACCGCCAACATCAACGCCGTCTGTCCCGCCTAACAACACACAACAGTTACCTGTTAGGAGGGCCACGAGTTTTACCAATCTCCTGACCATGTGACCTTCTGACCTGGAAAAACTCCAGGCAGTCGTTATAAGAGCTGGCCGAACACCCAGTCAGCTTTTCTTACACAAAATTACAAAACCATTGGATGTTAAAAAAAAGACATGTCCTGGCCCAACATAACCAATTGTGAATTTTCATTCCATCAAAACATTGATACAATGTGGAGCTATCAACAACATACATGCAAATGAGCTATCTAACTGAAGTAGCTCAAATAGCCATTTTGTCAGGGGCTTGGGAGGGACGTCATTGGTTTGCCTGAGCTTGGCTGTGTGCAGGGAGGCCTGCTGTCCAGCAGGGGGCATAGTGTACCTGGCTGGCTTTGGCATTCACGTCCCCTGTTCGCAGCAGCTGCAGGACGGTGTGAAGGTCACTGTCAGAGTGGAAGGCAGCCAGAGCTGTCAGCATGATGGCTGTGTAGCCTGCCTTGTTCTGCTTGTCAGAGTTGCACAGGCCTGAGAGAGAGAGAGAGAGAGAGAGAGAGAGAGAGAGAGAGAGAGAGAGAGAGAGAGAGAGAGAGAGGAGAGAGAGAGAGAGAGAGAGAGAGAGAGAGAGAGAGAGAGAGAGAGAGCAGGACACATTTATTATGGGAATGATATTCCTAAACCATTCCACAAACAGTCATGCAGTACATAAAGGTTATACATACAGTCAATTGTCTCTATGGCCCTGTGGCTATATACATTCATACAGTGCTGATCCATGTATTGTACAAACAAACCAAACACTTACTTGCCCACCATTCAAACCACCATTCCCTGTCTGTAAACACTCACATCCCCCAGTCACTCACCAGTGTCCAGCAGCAGCTTGACCACAGGGAAGTTGGAGTGGGAGACGGTGTAGTGCAGGGCCGTGTTGCCGTTGCCGTCGGCCATATTGACCACAAACTTCAGCAGCTGTGGGGAGACGGAGGAGAAGGAGTCCATATAGGCCCTGACAGCGGCAGTGTCAGCTGCCTTGTGACAGGACACACGTAGCCACTCCTGGAGCACTGTGGTGTAAGCTGTCCTCTGGGGAGGGAAAACACAGACTGGTCTCAGACTAACAACCAGACAGGACTGGTCAAAGACTAACTCACACTGTTTATGATACATGTCACGCCCTGGCTCTGGGGACACTTGTATGTTGAGCCAGGGTGTGAGTTTCCATTTGTTTTCTAGTAGTTGCATTTCTATGTTGGCCAGAGTGGTTCCCAATCAGAGGCAACGAGTGTCAGCTGTTGCTGGTTGTCTCTGATTGGGAACCATATTTAGACAGGCTGTTTTCCCACAGTGGTTGTGGGATCTTGTTCTAGTTGGTTTGTGTTAGACCGTGGACTGTCACGTTATCGTGTTGTTGTTTTGGTCGTGTATTCACTAAATAAAGAGTATGTTCGTCTTCAACGCTGCGCCTTGGTCCTCCTCTGTTCCCGACGATCGTGACAGAAGATCCCACCAGAACTGGACCAAGCAGCGGGTCCAGGAGCCATCGCCAGGGAAATATCCAGCGCCTCCTCGACTGGGTCAAGCCGGGTGAGCAAGAGAGGGGCTTGACGTGGAAGCAGAAGGGCGAAAGGCTGGCGAAAAGTATGGAGACCTGGTCCACGGGTAGGAGTGAAGCCCATAAATTTTTTAGGGGGGGGCTCACGCCGTGGACGACGGGGCAGCAGGAGACCGCGGTAGAGCGGCCCAGCGGGTTGGCAGAGGAGGCCGCCAGGTTACGAGGGCCACTGATCGAAGAGGGGAAGGAAGGTGTAGAGGCACGGAGAGAGGTACTGGGGTGTGTTATCAGTCCGGTCCGACCCGTTCCAGATCCCGGCGTAGGGCCAGTGGTGTGTGTCCCCAGTACGGTCCGGTCTGTTCCTGCTCCCCGCACCAAGCCAATGGTGCGCGTCGCCAGCCCGGCCCGTCCTATTCCTGCTCCCCGCACCAAGCCAATGGTGCGCGTCGCCAGTCCGGCCCGTCCTGTTCCTGCTCCCTGCACCAAGCCTATGGTGCACGTCGCCAGCCCGGCCCGGCCCGTTCCTGCTCCCCGCACCAGGCCAATGGTGCGCGTCGCCAGCCCGGTCCGGCCTGTTCCTGCTCCCCGCACCAGGCCAATGGTGCGCGTCGCCAGTCCAGCCCGTCCTGTTCCTGCCCCCCGCACCAAGCCTATGGTGCGCGTCGCCAGCCCGGTCCGGCCCGCTCCTGCTCCCCGCACCAAGCCAATGGTGCGCGTTGCCAGCCCGGTCCGGCCCGCTCCTGCTCCCCGCACCGAGCCAATGGTGTGCGTCACCAGCCCGGTCCGGCCCGCTCCTGCTCCCCACACCAAGCCAGTGGTGTGCGTCGTCAGTCCGGCACGGCCCGTGCCTGTTCCCCACACCAAGCCAGTGGTGTGCGTCGTCAGTCCGGCACGGCCCGTGCCTGTTCCACCGGTGCCTGGTCCGGCACCGGTCAGCTGCTTCACGCCGGAGCTAGAGCAATCAGCTCCACCAGTGTGCAGTCCAGCTCCGGCCAGCGGGGCCAGACCGGACCAGGGGTACTTTGGGGGGTTGGAGAGGAAGTGGGGATCAGGCCCGGAGCCGGATCCGCCGCCAAGGCGGAGTGCCCACCCGGTCCCTCCCCTGTGGTATTTAGTTGGCGCGGTCGGAGTCCGCGCCTTTAGGGGGGGGGGGTACTGTCACGCCCTGGCTCTGGGGACACTTGTATGTTGAGCCAGGGTGTGAGTTTCCATTTGTTTTCTAGTAGTTGCATTTCTATGTTGGCCAGAGTGGTTCCCAATCAGAGGCAACGAGTGTCAGCTGTTGCTGGTTATCTCTGATTGGGAACCATATTTAGACAGGCTGTTTTCCCACAGTGGTTGTGGGATCTTGTTCTAGTTGGTTTGTGTTAGACCGTGGACTGTCACGTTATCGTGTTGTTGTTTTGGTCGTGTATTCACTAAATAAAGAGTATGTTCGTCTTCAACGCTGTGCCTTGGTCCTCCTCTGTTCCCGACGATCGTGACAATACACTTACAGTACCAATCAAAAGTTTGGACACACCTACTCATTCCAGGGTTTTTCTTTATTTTTACTATTTTCTACATTGTATAATAATAGTGAAGACATCAAAACTATGAAATAACACATATGGAATCATGTAGTAACCAAAAAAGTGTTAAACAAATCGAAATATATTTGAGATTCTTCAAAGTAGCCACCATTTGCCTTGATGACAGCTTTGCACAATCTTGGCATTCTCTCAACCAGCTTCATGAGGTATTCACCTGGAATGCATTTCAATTAACAGGTGTGACTTGTTAAAAGTTATCCAACATGGCTACCACAGCATTCTGCAGCGATACGCCATCCCATCTGGTTTGCGCTTAGTGGGACTATCATTTCTTTTTCAACAGGACAATGACCCAACACACATCCAGGCTGTGTAAGGGCTATTTGACCAAGAAGGAGAGTGATGGAGTGCTGCATCAGATGACCTGGCCTCCACAATCACCCGACCTCAACCCAATTGAGATGGTTTGGGATCAGTTGGACCGCAGAGTGAAGGAAAAGCAGCCAACAAGTGCTCAGCATATGTGGGAACTCCTTCAAGACTGTTGGAAAAGCATTCAAGGTGAAGCTGGTTGAGAGAATGCCAAGAGTGTGCAAAGTTGTCATCAAGGCAAAGGGTGGCTACTTTGAAGAATCAAAAATCTAAAATAGATTTTGATTTGTTTAACACTTTTTTGGTTACTACATGATTCCATATGTGTTATTTCATAGTTTTGATGTCTTCACTATTATTCTACAATGTAGAAAATAGTAAAAAATAAAGAAAAACCCTTGAATGAATAGGTGTGTCCAAACTTCTGACTGGTACTGTATGAATGTAGGCCTAACAGCTTTAGCTTAATGGGATAACCCAGTATTGTAAAGTGCAGGAGACCTGAGTTCAAATCCCTGTCGATTACATGAACACAATCATGTAGAAAGTGACTATATGAAATGGCTAGTCACAGATTAAGTAATCTAAACTGGCATGGTGGGCAGAGTAAAAGAGAATAGCATACCGCTCCTTGCTGGCTGAAAGCATTTGGTTCACCCAGGGCTTTCTGCAGGGCATGGAGAGATGCCATAAGGCTCTCACTCAACTCCAGTCTGACAGAGATGAAAGAAAACACAGCAAATTCAAGCACACACATACAAACACAATATCATACTGCACATGAGATCACTGATGGAATGACAAATCTACAGATATTGGTTTTAAAATGGTTATGCTGGTTTACCTGGTTTCTTGATTGGCTAATGAAGTAGCATTTGGGGCGTTTTCAGGTGCTGGCGTCGAGGCTGATGATTGGATTATCCTCTGCTGGGAGCTTTGTTCAGTGGCTGAGGATTGGGTAGCCCCATGCTGAGGGGCGAGGTCAGTAGTTTGTGATTTGATGGCATATAGTTGAACGGTGACATCAGTGGTACTTGATTGGGTGACACCCTGCTTTACTTCCGGGTTAGTGGCTTCTGGTTGGCATCTGGGGGGCTTGGGGGGTGCAGAACAGGTAGGTGCTGATTGGACGGTGCACTGCTTAGGTGTAGTGGGTTCAGTGCTTGTATTTATGGAGGTACTCTCCTGAGGGATGGGGTCTGGGACCGATGATTGGACAATACTCTCCTGACGGACACAGTCATTGGCTGGAGATGGGTAGGTACTCTCAGTGGGGGCAGAGTCAGAGTCTGGTGGCTGAGAGGCACATTGCTGCATGGCAGTGTTCAAGGCTGGTGATAAGGTGGTTACATGCTGTAGTCCTATGCTTATGGCTGCTGATTGGCTGGTGCTCTGCTCAGAGGCAGGTTCACAGGCTGGTGGTTGGATGGTAGTGGCTGGGAGCGGGGTGGCCTGCTCTACCTTTGTGGAGGAGACTGGGACTGCTGCTGCTTGCTGGTGCTGTCCTGCTGCACCCTCTGCTGCTGCTGCTGGTAGTTTATCTGTGGTCTCATGGTATTCACTGGCATCACTCTCCTCTGAACTCTCACTGCTACTGTCGTCTGAGGAGGTGGACTCATACCTGCAGGACAGGACAGGGGGAACTCATCTATCACACACATCAACTCACAATCTCTGTAGTGTAACATGAATACACTGTTACACATAAACAATGTCATACACTATCAACAACACACATACCCTCCATTGACTCCAATGAACTGCAGGTTCTTCTTGGTGGATGGAGAGCCATGTTCTACCTCTGCCTTATGTTTCATAATGGACCTCAGGGCGGTCTGGGGAGAGGCTGCTGCAGCTGGAGAGGACACCCAATGTTGCCACAATGTTATGTTATGTCAGGGACAGTTATCGGGAGGGTTAAGGTAAGGAGTTGTACTAATGGTCCATAGTTACCTGGCTTTGATGGGTCTTCTTGAGACTGGACTGTGTTTATGGCAGTGTGCTGGGGTGTCTCTCCTTCCTTCAGATGCAGTAAAGCCATCTGATTACCAATGGTATCAATGGCGATGGCAGGATTAGTGACAGGCACTGAGGTGGACAGCTCACTTCTTAGGACCTCTCGGACCTGTTTGGATGAGATGGCGATGGGCAGCTCAACAGGTGCATCTGGAGGAATGGAAAGGAAGAGGACAAAAGATGGAAGGGATCAACAATCAAAGAAAACTCATGGTTTTTCAACCAAACAACTTATTGTTATAGAAAACATTTTTACATTTAGAAGACACTCTTATCCAGAGCGACTTACATGAGCAATTAGGGTTAACTGCCTTGCTCAAGGGCACAGACAGAGTTTTTACCTAGTCGTGTCAAGGATTCGTACCAGTGACCTTTCGGTTACTGGCCCAACGCTTTAC